TTTCCTCTGAGGTCTTTTAATTCCTTGGCTGTTCCTATCACCCTGGAATCCACCAAATTGTGAAGTCCTGCCTCTAGCTCTCTGACAAGTCAACCACAAGGCAAAGAGCTGCTGCTGACCACCTATGACTGAAGGTCGACCCAGTAGAACGGCAGTGCATCAAGGAGGCTGGCTAGGAGCTTGGGCTCTGGACCGACAGACCTCAGCGTAGGGCCCTGCTCTGCCACAGCCTAGCTTTGTGATACTGGTCAAGTTACTTAATCCCTCTGAGCCTCAGTTTCTCCCTTTGTACCATGGTGATAAGACGGCCTACCTCAAAGAAGTCCCCATGGGTGAAATGAGAAAACACATTTTCTCATGCACTGAAATGTTCTCAGTGGTTATTTCTGAGTCATAGGATTTTGACTGCTGTCTTTGAACTTTCTGATACTCTTTATGTATGACGAGCATGTACATTAAAAAAAAAAATAAAGCTGTTTTAAGGGGAGAAAAAAGGAAGGAAGCATCATGCAGAGTGCAAACCCTGTCCATTACAGCCTCTGGATGAAGCTATGACCAACTCAGGAAATGGCTCTGACCCACGGACATTTTCTTCTTAATAATAATGGCTACTATTCCTAAGCTCAGCACTACTGAGATGGGTTCGTCTCACTGCTACAACATTATCAGGTGGGTAGTACTGATATTTGCCTTTTACAGAAGAGTTAACCAAGGCCTAGGGAAGTCAGAAAATTTGTCCAAGACCACAGAGTCAGGATTTGAACCTAGCCTGGGGACTCCAGCCCCTGGGTGCCAATCAGCTTTGGGATCAAGGTATGCTCTCTCACTGTCCCTTCACTGCCACCTTCGGGGAGGGAGCAGGGATCCCGCTCTTGGCTGGTTTCCTCTGGCAATGATTTACTACTGGTGTAAACCAACCAGAGACCACCTGGCCTGACAGGTGAAGGGGCTGCCACTCAGGTGACTGCAGAAGAGTCCTGCCTGAAGGTGAAGACAGTGAGCCTGGCTGGGGTGCGATCTCCTGAGCCAAGTGTCCCCAGATGATCCGTCTCATCTACAAGGGCCCACTGGCTTCTCTGGGTGCTGCTGGGGAATGGTGATGGCCCAAAGGAGCAGGATAAGCCCTGGACTTGGAGGCAGGGACCCGGGTTCCACTCCTGGCTCTGCCACTAATCAGTCACCTGGCCTGAGGAAAGCCATCCCTTCTCTCAGGATCTGCGAACCAAGAGGACTTCTAGGCCTTACATCCTGCAAGTGTCTCAACTTCTCAAATAAAAAGCTCAGGGTGAAAAATGGCATCCAGGAGCATTAAAAATAAATTCTTGTTTTCAGTGGCAAAGGCTTGAGCTCCATCTCGTCACACCACAGGCCCCCTAACGCTGGTATTTTTATTCCCCTCAAAATAACCTTTTCAAAAGGCATCTGCAAACTATGGCATTGGCCTTTCTGTGGAGAGGACACTTTCATGCTCTGCAGGGAGTCGCCATTAGCATGCATTACAGCAGATTCTAGACAGACGCCCTGGGAAAACTGAATGCCACGGGAGGGAAGCACAGAGCAAGTGTCTAATTGAGGGACACCGGGCATTCCGAGACCCCACACCTCACAGAGACCCTTGGCCCGGGGAGGGTCTGTGACTCACCGGGCAACTCTTTATAACTTTTTGATTATCACTGATGTGAATCAAAAGGAGACCTTCATGGGTCCACTTGGATACTTTGGCCAAGAACCAAGAAGAAAAAAGATGACTTTTAAAAATGCCTAATTTGTGTTATATGATTCAGGTCTAAATCCATCAGAGCTAGGGCTGCTGTAACAAATTACCACAAACATGGAGGCTTCAAACATTCGAATCTCTCACAGTTCTAGAGGCCTGAAATCAAGGTGCTGGAAGGGCCACGCTCCCTCCAAAGGCTCTAGGAGAGAATCCTTCCTTGCATCTTCCAGCTCCTGCAGGTCCCTGGCAGTCCTTGGCTTATGGCAGCATCACTCCAATCTCTGCTTCTGTCTTCACATGGCTTCTACCCTTTGCATCTCTCTGTGTATAAACATCCCTCTCCTTTCTCTTATAAAGACACCAGTCATTGGATTTAGGGCTCCCCCTAAATCCAGGATGATAACATTTCCAGATCCTTACCTAATTAAATTCACAAAGTCCCTACCTCCAACTAAGGTCACATTCTGAGGTTCTGGGTGGACCTGAATTTGGTGAGGGGTAGGGGTGGGGAATGCTCAAACCAACTCAGTATGAGTGTCCTGGCGGTTCAGCAAGCCTCACATGGGTTCAGCCCTGGGCAGGAGGGTAGCACTCATGTTTTCTACCTGACATCCTGATCTAGCCCAAGCGATCAGCTTTACAGATGATGGAACTGAGGATCAGAGAATAAAAGTGTCTTGGCCAGTGGCACACAACTAGGTAATGCCACAGGAGGCAAGAATAAAGAAAGAAGAGGGTGTAGAGGTGGGTAAGGAAGTGGGGTGGCAGTGGGGTGGGAGGGGATGAGGATGTAATTACTGTTTTACTTGTGGGAAAACAAGAACGGCAGCTTTGCATTTGCAACCATTGTCCAAAGAAGGTCTAGATGGGGAAAAATATGATAACTAGCTTATTAGAGACACAATTTAGGAGACTTTGAAGAATTAGTACCACTCTGAGGATCAGTGTGCAGGGGACTGTTTGCCTTTTTTTTCTGGCCAAAGGAATGAGAGCTCCTTTCACTGGGCAAAAGCCTTTCCAGACTGGTCCCTGAAACATCGTGCGTACAGATGCCTGCTGGTTGCCATGGTGAATGATACTGATCTGAAGAAATGAATAACGCGAGCGTTGGGGGCGACAGTGGAATTACTCACACAGTGGTGAGAGAGACATCAAGTAGAGCCCAGAGCAGAGGAGGGAGAAGGCAACATCCTTCAGCTTTGGTCCACTCTGCCTCTGAGGGCTGTGTTCTAACCGGATCCACTGTGAGCATCAGGTAAGGGACACAAATGGCTCTTCTTGGAAATGGAAATGGCTTTTCCTTTCACACTGCTTGGAGGAGGGCCAGGCAATGGCAATACGAACAGCTAAAAATAGGGGGGATTTAAAAACAGAAGCAGTGGAAGAAAAATAAATAATGGGAGACATTTAGTCATGAAAGCTGTGAATGCTGCATCTTGACAGAAAGCTCTTCAACATGTCTGCTGTAGAAAACTCAGTCTGCAAAGACAGCCAGCACAGATGTGAGGCAAACAGGAGAAGAGATTCATGACAAGAAACAGCATTCCTGATCACTCCTGATGGGTTTACGAGGGCTATTGCCTCTGTATCGTAAGTAATGAATTAAGCTCTTTTCATTGTGGTCCCTATTTATAGGGGTGTGGCGGGGTGGACGGGTGGGTATGAGAAGGAGACCCATGGAGGGAGCGCAGATACTCAATGTCTTCTGCAAAGTCTCTCGCTGGAGGGATCTGAGCACACCTGCCTTGTCCCTTTCATCCCCCATTTTTCTGGGAGAAAATTTCCAGCCAAACGGAAAGGAACTCCCCTTCCTGAGCATTTTAGTTCATTGTCATCCATAGAGAAGAAAAACAAGGCCTGAAAAATCATTCACTGCTGAGCATCTTCCTGTAGCTCACTTCCTCTAGGAGCACGGGCACGAACACAGGTGGTTGGAGGGAAGCAGGGAGGAGAGAAAGCAGCTCGTAATCGCAATCAGTGTGGCTTAATGTCCAATTCAGGTTAAAATCTGATCGACTGTTTTTTACTCTGTCATTGCAATCTGAAATGAAACCTTCTGCATTTCGTGTGAGAGAGGAGGGGCAGAGAACTGAGCTGGGTGAGATCTATCCGTGAACATACACAGGTTGACTCTGGCTGTCTCTGAATTTTAGCTCAGGGGAAATTCAGTAGCGGAGAACAATATCTCTCAAACACATAGAATTAAAAAGAAACGAAAAAGCTTGAAGATGGCGCACTTTTAGCAAAGCGAGAGGGCTAGCAATCTGGAGAGGGCTCATTTCACGTGTCAGGAAAAGCAGCAAAACCCAGTCTTGGTACCAGCACCGCATTTTGCAATAACCTTCTACGACTAAACCCGGCAGCCTTGTCTTTGTAAATCCAGTGGGTTACGTGGCTTTGGGTCTTGTTAGCTGATTGCTCCTCTCAGATTGCTCATCTGTAGAATGGGAATCTAGTTCAGAGGGTGTGATGAACAAAGGATATTTACTCTTATATGCTGAGCTTCTAGTGACCTGTGACATAGCAACTGCTCACTATTGCTGGTTATTACCATCATTGACAGTCACAGAACCAGCAGTATCAAACAGTAGCAGTCATGCTGGTATTCGGAGCTGATTGTCTTGACCTGTGAAACTAATTTTCTGAGTAATTCGGCTTTGAAGAAAGCTAACGAATGGACAAAACATGAGCAGAGGCTTTGGGGAGAAATCAGCTGCCGCTGAGTGATGATGCAAATCTCCTCTGGCTACGGGCAACAGCACTTGGAGGCTAAAAGACACAGTGGCCAGAATGTTCTAGATGAATGAGCTCACAGCACTTGGGGCAGAAATAGGAGTTCCAGAGGGAAATTTTAGGTGAAACAACTGCCTGACCTGGAGGTCACAGACCCTTGGTGACTAACGTGGGGACTCTGAGGCTGTGCTGATTTTTCCTTTCATTGCCTTTTTTCCCCCTTCTTTTTTTAAGGTTTGGGAACAATGTTGTATTTAAAGAATCTGAGCCACGGCAGGATGAGGCTGGGGGATGTGTGTGCATCTCTTTTGGGCCTGATGGCCCCCTGCTTTGGCATGAGACAACCCTGATTTGAACTGTGGTTCTGCCATTTCTCGGCTATGCCTAGCTGAGCATTGTCACCTCTTGGCCTCCATCTCTTTGTCTGTAAATCGGGGTCAATATTAGTCCCCATCTCGAATGCTCAATGAATGGTGGCTATGATTATCATAAATAAACACTTAAATGAGGAGATGACACTCTTCACTTTGATTCTGGTTTCAGAATCGAGATGAACATCGAGGTTGGGAACGTTTCTTATACGGGAGCCGTCATTTCCTGGTCGTCCTCGGAGCCCTGCCTGGAGGACTATTACCATATTATGTATAGGCCCAATTGGAACAGCATCTTCTCTGGCTATCTTCGCTACAGCTTCCACCACGAGGAGAAGGTGCCTCGAACAATCAGCTCCGTGGTGCTGGAACACCTCACCCCTTCCACTCTCTACTTCCTGTGCATCAGCTGCAAGAAGATCCTCTTCCCCTACAGGCACTACTGCACCATGTTCCACACCCTGGATAAGAGTCCACTGGCTGCTGGAAGTTCCCTGGTGGACCCCCAGATCTCCCTTTGGGTGCTGATGGCCATTCTGCTGGCCTGCTTCACGGCAGTCTTAGCCTTCATCTGCCTCCAGTTCTGGTGTATCCGTTGCCATGAGCCTCGATGGTCTTACAGAGCCGGCCTCATGGAGGAAGCCAATGGCCTGGTGAGATGGCCAGAGGAGGCCCCGGGTCTGGGTCAGGGGGAGGAAGACCTGCAGGGGCTCCCCCTGGTGGAAGTGCCACGCAAGAACTCCGGAGCTGACGCGGAACCAGAAGCTGCAGCCGCAGCAGCCGAACAGGATGCCCCTGACGTGGGTGCCCTGCAGATGGAGGGCGGTGTTCATCCTGCTGCACTGCCTCATTTTGGGGAGTGAGAGGTGGAGGGGAGGCAGCCCACATCAGGTAGCTTAAAGCCCTCCACGCAGCAGGTCTCCGGTAAAAACACGTCTGTAGACTACCCATTCGCCTCCCCTCAAATGTCAGAGCTCTGACACATGGACCACCTGGTTGGATGAATGCCCTTTGGCAAAGCTTCTCTACCTGGAAAACATATAACCCCCTGGTGTGCAAAGGGAGGAACACGGCATCTCTTAGGAGTGTCCATCTAGGGTAGGGGGGCTCAGTTAGGAATTAAAAGCATTTCAATATTAAAACAACCATGAATATATTATGGTATAGAAAGTGAAATCTGCATGACTTAAATAAAACACAAAACTTCCAGAAAATTTTTGAGTTGAAGATGGGCTCTTGGGTTATGCTTTCAGTCAGCTGAGGCAAACGTCCAGTCTTCTCTGCTGTTGAGGGGGGATTATTTTGGAAAGATGTGAGAAGCCTTGCTCTAGAGTGTTTTCCAACTTTCAGCCAATCACACACCACTTTGTACCCCATCTTCACCTTTTTTTAAACCACAGACTATCTTTACGATTATTAACAATACCTTTTCTTTAAATTGACTCATTTTTAACCTTATTTTAAAACATAGGCTTATGCTACTCCCCCAATGAAAAACCAGCACCCTCCTGCTATAAATAGAAGGGAAGATACATAATAAATAGAATGAAAACAAAACAATACTAAATTTGACTTGGATACTACTGCCTACTAAGGACTCTGAGCTCAGGGCCTGCTCTCTCATCTCTGATCAAAAGGGAGATTAGGGCTCCCCTGGTGGTGCAGTGGTTGAGAGTCCGCCTGCCAATGCAGGGGACACGGGTTCGTGCCCCGGTACGGGAAGATCCCACATGCTGTGGAGCGGCTGGGCCCGTGAGCCATGGCCGCTGAGCCTGCGTGTCCGGAGCCTGCGCTCCGCAACGGGAGAGGCCACAGCGGTGAGAGGCCCGCGTACCGCCAAAAAGAAAAAAAAAAAAAAGGGAGATTAGCAGTCCTTGGAAAGGTATTAAACACATATTAGCACCAACATAAGACTTGCTCCTTGGTATAATCAGCAAGGTTTGAAAGAGTATTGCAAAGGGAGTTACTTTGTGAGTGACTGTTAATTCATGCCATGACTGTGACTGTCTACAGTGCTGTCTGTAAGGGTTCCCTGATTTGAGAGAGTTGCCTTGACCAGACTGGCTGCTCTGGAGAAGACACCTGTACTCTCTCAGCATCATCCTAAGACTTTCTAAGCCCCACATACAGGCCCAAGTGAAGGGCACTCATCTTGGTTCCTCACACCTCCCAATCTAGGGCTCCCGACCTAGAGAAGCACCTTTTCTAACCATGCTATATTTATCCAGTCACTTCTTCTTCTAAGTCCATCTGTGCTTACTTTGTGAAAATGGGGTCAAAGGTGGCCATTTTTCATCCATCACACACACAAAAATCTTGGCTTTTTTGCCGTTGTTGTTGAGCTACTGCACCCTTTCTGTGGTGTTCTCCCACACAAGCCCGCAGGGTAAGAAACGATCTCCTACAAATGTCACGGTGATGGTAAGACTTTGTGAAGGGTGTTCCCCAGTGCCCACCCCGGGCGTGGAAATGGAGCTGGAGGAGGGTGGAGATGCGTCTGCTTCAACCTCTGCTAAATCCCCAGCATGGGGAACCTGCCCAGCATCTGGCCTACGGTGGGGGCTTAAGGAATGTCTGTTTAACGAATGGCAGAGGACTGAAAGTCCAGAACAGGCGCCACCTGGGAAGCTTTGTTAGTGTGTGAACAAAGTAGCAAGGAGACAGGAGGAGAGCTCTCAGCTCTAACTCCGGCCATCTGGGATTTCCTTCAAAACTCCACCTTCCCAACTGCTTCCTATCTGCAAATCCCTCATCTTCGCGGAGCACAAAATCCCAGAATCGCAGGATGATACCACAATGAATCAACCGAGAACAGGAGGAGATGGGACGCCGAGACAAGGAGACCCACACGCCTATTTCCCTGCTTGCCTCATAAAGTCCTCCCCAGACTGTTCCTGCCCAGAATCCAGCCCCACCAGGTCTGCGCTCACCCTCACCCCTGCTAGTTGTGAACAAATAAAGATGAATCTACTTGCAGTTGTTTCTGCCTGGATTTCACTGCTGCCTCTGTATCTCCATATGCTTTTGCTGCTTTTCTGATTTGAGGAACACTCTTCTGTCTGCTTTTGCTCACTAGTCCTCTTAGTAGTAGGACACAGGCAAGACCACTCACCTTGGACCCATAGAGGTAATAAGGCTGGACGTTGGCGGGTTTATCTCTTTGCGGTTCTTGGGTGAAAGGAATGGCAGTTCGGACAAAACTAGTAGAAGAAAAGAGATGGGGCAGGAGTTAACCGGGTCCTAATATTATTCTTCACGGGACTTGATATAGCGGGAGCCCTTCCTGATCAGGCGCAACCACACTGTTTCTTAGGCTGTGGCCTATACAGGTACTTCTGACAGACTCCCGTTTAACTCCTGTCTCCTCTTCATAGATGGGAACACTGTAGTCCAGGTTCACAGGCTCGACTCTGGGCTTGCAGATGCTCAGTGGTCAAGAAAGTCGAGAACAGGGTGGGCCTGAAAACAGCCTTCTCCAGGGCTTGGAACCTCCACCCTCAGTTTGGTTTCCTCAAGAGTAGAGTGCTGCAAACTCTTTCTATAAAGGCCCAGATAGCAAATACGTTCCGCTTTGCCAGCCAGATGGTCTCTGTCATAACTACTCAACTCTGCTGTAGCATAGGAGCACCCATAAACATGCTCATAAACAGTAAATGAGTGAGCATGGATGCCAGAGTTCCAATAAAACTTTGTGAATTTCAAATAATTTCTACTTGTCACCAAGTTATAATTCTTTGGATTTTTTCCCTAGCCGTCTCAAAATATCAATACCATTCTTAGCTCACAGGCTGAACAAAAAGAGCTGGCAACTGGAGGTGCCTCGTGGGCTGGAGTGTGCAGATCTCTGCACAAGAGGATTGAAAGTCCCAAATCTTTAGAGAACCGGAAGTCCATCTTGCTAAGTGTGTGGTTTCCTCCCAGACCCTTCCGTGACTCTGGCACATATTTATTCTACGCTGGCCGTGAGCCAGGCCCCGATGACACTGAGAGGGCTTGTCTGGAGGAGACAGCTGGCTGCTTCTACCGCCACCCCGACTCTGCTTTGCACAGAGACTCCCTTACCGGTTGGTGGACCCATTGTAGCAGTAGTTGGGGAGGAAGTCGAAGTTCAGCTCCCAGAAGACGTGCAGGGTGATGCGGCCGTAGGGGGCAGACACGTTGTGATTGGCCTCCCGGAACATGGCATCGAAGCTGTCCAGGGTCATGTGCTTACAGAGCAGCCGGTGTGTGAGCCGATTGATCTCCAGCAGCCACTCCAGCTCCTGCCCAGAGAGAGAGCCCGTGGCTGCTGAGGACTCACACACGCGCCTGGCACGCAGACACCATTATCTGAAAGATGCCTTTCATGCAGGTGAGGGCCCCTCAGACAACTTTATAACGGCCAGCATGGGACTAGGACCGCTTACGGTAGTATGCGACGTTCCCTTCTTCTGAGTGAAGGAAGTACCAGACCATGCCCAGGGAGGCTGCGTGCCTGCCCACAGAAGGGGACCACAGACCATGTGCAAATCCCTTGTCTGCACCCCACTGGGTAGAAAAGCATGACTACTTGCTCTCCAGTTTCTAGGTTAGTAAGGAAAAAGCTTGTCCCTCTGAGTTGCAAGTAAAGTAAAAGAAAGTTGTGAGCATCCATCCATCACCAGAGGCTGTCTCCACCCTGCAGAAAGCAATCAAAAGAGCTACCACCTACTAAGTACTTACAATTAGGTTGGACCATGTGAAACTACTGTTTTTTAGGTCAAACACCATTCAATGTTAGTAATTTTTTATGGTTCAGTCTAATACATGCCAAGCAGTATTCTAAGCACTTTATATGTGTTAACTCACTTCATGCTCAAAAACCCCTATAAGGTCAGCATGATGGCTGTTCTTGCTGTATACATATAGAAACTAGGCTTTAAGAAGTGCAGTAACTTGGCTTCAAATCCAGGAAGCTGGACTCCAAAGTTCACATTCTTAACAGTTGTATACTATAGAAATTTAAAAAACAGCTGCGGGCAGAACGTTCCCTCATCTGGACTCCTCCTGTGCCCCTCAGTCACACAGGGTTTGGTTACACATGTTGGCAAAGGTTTGGCTGCAAGCTATGGATGAAGGACGTGCATGAGCTGTGGGCCCTGGTCATTTGGAATCCAACCTTCAGGCAGAGAACAGGAACAGAGTGGATAATATCTGGACAGAGCAGGTCACTGCACTTGCTAGGAAGTAAAAAGGATAAAATCCTTTGGGCTGGCTTTAGTTCCTTGCTGTATTGCTATCAAAGAGAATCAAAGCACAGTCCTGTGCAGAAAGCATCTCTGTGATGCTCTAGGACACTCCTATACTATAGTGGTTAAGCCATCTTTTGAGATGGGTATGACTGCCCCTGTTTCATAGAGGGGAAAACCGAGGCTCAGAGGGTGAAGTAACTCGCTCAGGGTCATAGAGTGAATACAGAACAGGGCTTAGGATGTGATCCCAGGTCTTGCGACTCCAAGTCACGTGTGTTTGGCCCCTGTGACACAGCTGCCTGGAATAAAGAAGCAATGACTGAGAAAGCCCTTTGAAAAGCAAAGATGGCTTTACAACATAAAAGCTAAAAGAACCTCGGCAAAGGCAGTTCCCCAGAGTGTGGCCAGGAGGTGGGATGGTCAGAGAGCCAGCTATAAAAGCTGGGCCTTGGAGCCCAGTTGTCTACAGTCATAGGAGGTGGCCTCACACCAGAGATTCAATTTTATTCTCATCAGCCACAAGAACCCTCTGACTCTGGTTGGGGTCCAGAGTGTGGTAGGCCCAGACCACGCTTCCAATCTTGGAGCTTCGTCTCTCTGAAACTCAGATTCTGTGGCTCTAAATCGGGGGCAAAATACTGTATCGAAGCAACCTTAACTGGCTGCAGGTAAGTGAGACAAGCAGCGGGAGGAGGGAGCCCCGGGCTGAGCTGTCTGTGGCAAATTGGAGAGCCGCTGCCAGATAAAGGTGGAGCGGCTACTTTACGCCATCTGATGATTTGTTACTACGTCGGAATGGGGCTTAGTGATGGCAGATCTTGCCATCTCTTGAAAGGAGGCCAGAATCTGGATTGCAATTCTGGAATGGTAGCTGGAAGAATAAGTTTCCAGTCACTGTGCACCTTGAAGTAAATGAAGGGTGGAAATACAGAACCAGCTGTCTGCTTCCAATTTCTTGGGGCCTAGCTAGCTGGATGGCATTTTTGTTCCTATTCACTTAGGGTGGGTAAGTAAGTAAGTAAAAGTAAGTAAGTAAATACGTAAATAAATGCAATGAATGTGCATGATTTTATTTCTAAGATCACTGAGTCCCTTAGCACATGGAGGTGCCCTGTTACCATGAAGAGAGCTACAAGATGAGAAACTGGGATTGAACAATTTCTGTGTCTAATGTTCTGTGATTTTAACGGTCTCACAGATGTGCATCAGAGACTGAAGGAGAGAGTGCTCAACTCCGCTGATATGGGGGTGCTGGAAATGTAGGTCCACTCCTTCCGCCAAGCCCCAGGACTCTTTATTATGTAATGCAAACTGTGTTTTGCATCAGCCGTGTACTTCCAGCCTTTCAATCAGAAGAGGGCACTTGCCTGAGGGATGCAGGGCTCAGTGCATCAAGGCACAGAGGTTTAGAAGGCCACAGGGGTGGTCTAGGTGCCTTCTGAGAGGACATCAGCTCTCTATACTAAAGCCGGTTTACTGGGGGGCAACACAGAGAAGCAGCACTGGGGAAACAAAACACCCAAACGGGCAACTTCTGTAAAGTAGCGGAAAGGGCTTTTCCACGGGAACCGGAAAACGTGAGCGTCAGCCGCACTTGGCCGTTAAACCAGCTCTGTGGTCCAGGCGGGCCAGGAGGATAGGGGTCTCAAACTCAGGCACAGCAAGGCCTGGTAGGTCATCCCATGAATGAATCGTGCCACAGGGCCTGCGGCAAACCCAGGAGAGCCCAGCCCAGCCGATGGGAAAGTCTAGTCATTTCTAGGCAATTGGTGCTATCTGGGAAGGCTGGTCTGAGGTTGCCAGAGCTTCTGCAGTTTTATTCGAATTCTTCCAAGTGTTAAGTGTTGCCTCCAAATTTCAAATATGCTTCACAGCCTAAACAAAACACAGCCTGCAGGCTGCCAGCTCTCAACTTTGGCATCAGATCCCTCCGAGAATCTACTTGCTCAGCTGCGTATGATTAGGGCCACCGACCGATGAAATCTCTGCAACCCTCCCAACTGGGCATCTAGCCACCCACTCCCCTATCTCAGGACGCAGCTTCTAAGGTGGAGAGAAGGGATGAGGGGAACAGATCCCTTGCTTTGTTTCTCAGAAGGGGCAGAAGGCTTCTCAGCCAAGGCAGTGGGGGCCTCCTAACCCTACAGGACAGAGCATCCTTGGGCTCTCCTCTTCATGGGCTTCATGGGAAGTGGCTACTCTCCTGGGGGATGTTGCCCTCACCTGACAAACACAGGCTTTCACTGTTTGGTTTGATTTTGTTCACAGCTAAAAGTGCCTTTCAAGGGCTGGGAAGAGGCCATAGATACCCACACACAACCCAAAACCAGTTTTTCCATAAGATATGCTCATTCATTACTGGAAAACTAAAAGATACAGATAAACAAAGAAGATAAAAACAAAAATCCCACCTTTTGGAGATAATCACTGCTAACATTTGGCAAAGAAAAATATTTCTTAAAGTAGATCTCCCAGAAGAACTTGTGCTATATCATAGTGTCTCAAAGTCAGTGACCCAGTACTTTGGTGGGCAGTTGGGTCAAGTTCTCTTGGAAATGCTTGTGAGAATCTACCCTGAGAGCACCTCATTTGTAGCTCAAAATTTCTATGTTCCTCTCTTTCTTCATAAGCTATTTTCATTAAGGGCAAGGAACTATGCAAAGCTCTTTCCTGGCAGTATCTCATTTCACCCTTTTGACAAGTCTATGAGGTAGATTCTAATATTTCCTCCATTGTACTACAGGCTTGCAGTGTAAGATAAGCAACTCACCCAAGATCACCCAGCTAGTTAAGTGGTGGGGCCAGGACTGGGACCCCAAGGTCTTTCTGATGCTAGAGTCCTAGTTCTTAGTCCCTTTTTCTTTCTTTCTTTCTTTCTTCTTTTATTTAATTTATTTTAAACTTATTTTTTTGGCTGCATTGGGTCTTTGTTGCTGCGCGGGCGTTTTCTACTTGGGGTAAGTGGGGGGGGCTACATTTTGCTGTGGTGCGCAGGCTTCTCATTGCGGTGGTTTCTCTTGTTGCGGTGGCTTCTCTTATTCCTAGGCATGCGGGCTTCAGTAGTTGCGGCGCACAGGCTTAGTTGCTCCGTGGCACGTGGGATCTTCCTGGAACAGGGATCGAACCCATGTCCCCTGCATTGGCAGGCAGATTCTTAACCACTGCACCACCAGGGAAGTCCCAGTCCTTTTTTAAAAAACCACTTTGTCCATTAAAAAAAAAAAACCCTTTTTATTTTGAAATAATTTCTGACTTACAGAAAAGCTGTGAAAACTGCAGACTTCCTGCGTATTCCTGACCCAGTTTCTCCAATGTTAACCTCTTACATAAGTTACCTAAAGTAGGAAACTAACATTGGTACAATTCTATGAACTAAATGACAGAACTTATTCAAATTTCACCATTTTTTTTTTCCATTTTACGGTTCAATCCAGAATCCCACAATGCACTGAGTTGTCATGTCTCCTTAGCCTTTTCCAATCTCTAACAGATTTCAGCATCTCTTCATCTTTTATGATCTGGATGCTTTTGAAAAGCATTGTTAATTTTTTTTTTTTTTTTTTTTTTTTTTTGGTACGCGGGCCTCTCACCGCTGTGGCCTCTCCCATCGCGGAGCACAGGCTCCGGACGCGCAGGCTCAGCGGCCACGGCTCACGGGCCTAGCCGCTCTGCGGCATGTGGGATCTTCCCGGACTGGGGCACAAACCTGTGTCCCCTGCATCGGCAGGCGGATTCTTAACCACTGCGCCACCAGGGAAGCCCGAATTGTTCATTTTTGAACGCCATGTGATTTGGGTTTATCTGATATATTCTCATGATTAGATTGAGATTATGCATTTTGCATTAGGCATATATATCAGGGGATACATGAATATACCTTATTTCTGGTGATATTAACCTTTCATGCTTGGTTAAGATGGTGTCTGCTATGAATGGATAAAGAAGAGGTGGCACATATATACAATGGAATATTACTCAGCCATAAAAAGAAACAAAATTGAGTTATTTGTAGTGAGGTGGACGGACCTTGAGTCTGTCATACAGAGTGAAGTAAGTCAGAAAGAGAAAAACAAATACCATATGCTAACACATATATATGGAATCTAAAAAAAAAAAGAAAAAAGGTTCTGAAGAACCTAGGGGCAGAACAGGAATAAAGACACAGACGTAGAGAGTGGACTTAAGGACACGGGGAGGGGGAGGGGTAAGCTGGGACGAAGTGAGAGAGTGGCATGGACATATATACACTACCAAATGTAAAACAGATAGCTAGTGGATAGCAGCTGCATAGCATAGAGAGATCAGCTCGGTGCTTTGTGACCACCTAGAGCAGTGGGACAGGGAGGGTGGGAGGGAGACGTAAGAGGGAGGGGTTATGGGGATATATGTATACATATAGCTGATTCACTTTGTTATACAGCAGAAACTAACACAACATTATAAAGCAATTTACTCCAATAAAGATGTTAAAAAAAAGAGAAAACACAAATACAATAACAAGTATTCTGCAAAAAAAAAAAAAAAAAAAAGAAAAAAAAGATGGTGTCTGCTAGATTTCCCCACTGTAAAATTAGTATTCTTCCCTTTGCAATTAATAAATATCTTGAAGGAGATAATTCGAGACTATGTAAGAATGCTTTTTCTTCTCTAAGTATTTTTTAAATTTTTGAGTAATTTTAAAACTTTGGTGAAATACAGATAACATAAAATTTACCATTTTAACCCTTTTTAAATTAGGGTTAGATACATTCATATTGTTGTGCCACCATCACTACCATCCACCTCCAGAACTTCTTAATCTCCCCAACTGAACCTCTGTACCCATTAAGCACTAATTCCCTATTCCTTGGCAAACACCATTGTACTTTCTGTCTCTATAAACCTCACTATTCTAGAAACCTCATAATAAGAAGAATCATAAAATACTCTTCGCAAAGTTCAGCCCGCTAATTTTAGCATCTGTTACTGGATCCTGCCTGCAACCATTACTACTGTGGTGTTCTAATGGTGATTTTCTACTTCTCTCATTCCTTCTACTCATCTGCTTTTGAAGCGTTAAAAGCTTCCTTTGATTCACCGAAAGACTGATCAATCAAGTTATTCTAATTCTTGGAAAGAATTAGCAGAGAGTAGTTCAAATTGCTGATTAATAAAAGAAGGTAGCAGGCCTGTCCCATGCTTGTGCATCAGGAACAACTATATAATTTGCAAGTCCCAGCACAAAATGAAAATGTGGGGACCCTTGTTAGAAAATGATTAAGAATTCCAAGATGGTGACAGCAGAGCATTAAACCAGTCAAGAGCCTCTGTGGGCTCTATACTACTGCACACCCACGAAGCTGACGCTGCTGTGTAACCTTCCCTAGTTTGTTAGGACCACCCAGCTACTTTACAGAGCTGTAGAATCCTAAAGGACAAGCAGCTGCGCCCCAGGGCTGGCCATTTCTAGAGATTTCAAGATCCCCCCTCCACTCCCATTCTCTAGGCAACCAGGAAGGTAAGATTATTCTTATTCTTTTTAAATCTTTTTTTTTTTCCCGTCTCATTCAGATGAGAAAGAGACCCATTGCTTCTCTGTAACTAGCTCAGTACCAGGCTAACAACAACTCCCAATGAGGCTTCTAGTCTGAGGAGTCCCAGAGCAGAACTCACAAAGGCCCCCATCTCTTACCACGATGGAGGTCAGGTCCTCACTCTCAAAGCGGCTGATGGCCTGGTCCAAGGATTTATACATGGCGGCAGAGATGCGCTGGGTAATGAGTCTGTTCAAGTCAATTGATCTACCCAACAGCTGCATAGAAGAGAGAGAGACAGAGGGAGAGATACAAGGTTACTTATGGTTTGTTTGCACAGGCACATGACAACTAAATGCAATGCACTGATAGGAAATTGTAGTAAAATTATAAACAACATGGCCAGGACAAATAGGGACTCTATGAAGAAAATAGTATTATTAAATTTCCTGAGTATGATAATTCTATTTGGATGATGAAAGAATGTCCTTGTTCTTAGGAGATACACGCTGAGGTATCAGCAGTAAAGTGTCATATGTCTCCAACTTACGCTCACTGGCTAAGAAAAAAGTATGTATATTAAAATATATATTTTATTATAGTGGGTTGGCCAAAAAGTTCATTTGGTATTTTTCCATAGGATGTTACAAACATTTTGGTCAACCTAATATTTATATATAAATATGTTTTTTAAATTATATATATTATAAACATATATTTAAACTATACTTACTATATTTATGAGAGAGAAAAAACACATATATGAGAAAAAGAAAGTGAATAAAATGTGGTTAAAACATGAATAATCATGAATCTGGCTACAAAGTATATCTGTGTGTTTACTGTGTTATTCTTTGATAAACACAGATGTCAAAATCCTGAACAAAATACCAGCAAACAGAATCCAACAGCACATTAAAAGGCTCATACACCATGATCAACTGTGATTTATCCCAGGGATGCAAGGATTCTTCAATATACGCAAATCAATCAATGTGATACACCTCATTAACAAATTGAGGAATAAAAAACATATGATCACCTCAATAGATGCAGAAAAAGCTTTTGACAAAATTCAATACCCATTTATGATAAAAACTCTCCAGAAAATGGGCATAGAGGGAACGTACCTCAACATAATAAAGGCCATATATGACAAACCCACAGCAAGCATCATACTCAATGGTGAAAAACTGAAAGCATTTCCACTAAAATCAGGAACAAGACAAGGATGTCCACTCTCACCCCTCTTATTCAATATAGTTTTGAGCAGTCGGAGAAGAAAAAGAAATAAAAGGAATCCAAATTGGAAAAGAAGAAGTAAAACTGTCACTGTTTGCCGATGACATGATACTATACACAGAAAATCCTAAAGATGCCACCAGAAAACTACTAGTGCTAATCAACGAATTTGGTAAGGTTGCAGGATACAAAATGAATGCACAGAAATCTCTGGCATTCCTATAGACCAACAATGAAGAATCAGAAAGAGAAATTAAGGAAACATTCCCATTTACCACTGCAACAAAAAGAGTAAAATACCTAGGAATAAACCTGCCTCAGGAGGCGAAAGACATGTACTCAGAAAACTATAAAACAGTGATGACATAAACAGATGGAGAAATATACCATGTTCTTGGACTGGAAGAATCAATATGGTGAAAATGATTAGACTACCCAAAGCAATCTACAGATTCAATGCAATCCCTATCAAACTACCAATGGCATTCTTCACAGAAGTAGAACAAAAAATTTTACAATTGATATGGAAACATAAAAGACCCCAAAGAGCCAAAGAAATCTTGAGAAAGAAAAACGGAGTTGGAGGAAACAGGCTCCCCAACTTCAAACGGTACCACAAAGCTACAGTAATCAAGACAGTATGGTACTGGCACAAAAACAGAAAATTAGATTAAAGCTACAAGATAGAATGCCCAGAGATAAACCCACGCACATAGGGGCACCTAATTTACAACAAAGGAGGCAAGAACATACAATGGAGAAAAGACAGCCTCTTCAATAAGTGGTGCTGGGCCACCAAACCAGCTTTACAACAAACACTAAAGGAACTTCTCTAGGCAGAAAACACAAGAGAAGGAAAACACCTACAATAAAAAACCCAAAACAGTTAAGAAAATGGTAATAGGAGCATACGTATCGATAATATCCTTAAATGTAAATGGATTAAATGCTCTAACCAAAAGACACAGACTGGCTGAATGGATACAAAAACAAGACCATATATATGCTGTCTACAAGAGACCCACTTCAGACCTAGGGACACACAGAGACTAAAAGTGAGGGGATGGAAACAGATATTCCATGCAAATGGAAATCAGAAGAAAGCTGGAGTAGCAATGCTCACATGAGACAAAACAGACTTTAAAATAAAGACTATCACAAGAGACAAAGAAGGACACTACATAATGATCAAGGGATCAATCCAAGAAGAAGGTATAACAATTGTAAATATTTATGCACCCAACATAGGAGCACCTCAATACATAAGGCAAATGCTAACAGCCATAAAAGGGGAAATCGACAGTAACACGTTCATAGTAGGGGACATTAACATCCCACTTTCACCAATGGGCAGAGCATCCAAAATGAAAATAAATAAGGAAACACAAGCTTTAAATGATACATTAAACAAGACGGACTTAATTGATATTTAAAGGACATTCCATCCAAAACAACAGAATACACTTTCTTCTCAAGTGCTCATGGAACATTCTCCAGGATAAACTGTATCTTGGGTCACAAATCAAGCCTTGGTAAATTTAAGAAAATTGAAATCGTATCAAGTATCTCTTCCGACCACAATGCTATGAGCCTAAATTTCAATTACAGGAAAAAAAATCTGTGAAAAATACAAACACATGGAGGCTAAACAATACACTACTAAATAACCAAGAGATCACTGAAGAAATCAAAGAGGAAATCAAAAATACCTAGAAAGAAATGACAATCTAAACACGATGACCCAAAACCTACGGGATGCAGCAAAAGCAGTTCTAAGAGGAAAGTTTATAGCAATACAATCCCACCTCAAGAAACAGGAAACATCTCAAATAAACAACCTAACCTTACACCTAAAGCAATTAGAGAAAGAAGAACAAAAAACCCCCAGTTAGCAGAAGGAAAGAGATCATAAAGATCAGATCAGAAATAAATGAAAAAGAAATGAAGGAAACAATAGCTAAGATCAATAAAACTAAAAGGTGGTTCTTTGAGAAGATAAACAAAATTGATAAACCAATAGCCAGACTCATCAAGAAAAAAAGGGAGAAGATTCAGATCAGTAGAATTAGAAATGAAAAAGGAGAAGTAACAACCGACACTGCAGAAATACAAAGGATCCTGAGGGATTACCACAAGCAACTCTATGCCAATAAAATGGACAACCTGGAAGAAATGGACAAATTCTTAGAAAAGCACAACCTCCTGAGACTGAATCAGGAAGAAACAGAAAATACAAACAGACCAATCACAAGCACTGAAGTTGAAACTGTGATTAAAAATCTTCCAAAAACAAAAGCCCAGGACCAGATGGATTCACAGGTGAATTCTATCAAACATTTAGAGAAGAGCTAACACCTATCCTTCTCAAACTCTTCCAAAATATAGCAGAGGGAGGAACACTCCCAAACTCATTCTACGAGGCCACCATCACCCTGATACCAAAACCAGACAAAGATGTCACAAAAAAAGAAAACTACAGGCCAATATCACTGATGGACATAGATGCAAAGATCCTCGACAAAATACTAGCGAACAAAATCCAAAGCACATTAAAAGGATCATACACCATGATCAAGTGGGGTTTATCCCAGGAATGCAAGGATTCTTCAATATACACAAATCAATCAATGTGATAAACCATATTAACAAACTGAAGGATAAAAACCATATGATCTTCTCAATAGATGCAGAAAAAGCTTTCAACAAAATTCAACACCCATTTATGATAAAAACCCTCCAGAAAGTAGCCATAGAGGGAACTTACCTCAACACAATAAAGGCCATATATGACGAACCCACAGCCAACATCATTCTCAATGGTGAAAAACTGAAACCATTTCCACTAAGATCAGGAATAGGACAAGGTTGCCCACTTTCAACACTACTATTCAACATAGTTTTGGAAGTTTTAGCAACCAGAGAAGAAAAAGAAATAAAAGGAATCCAAATCGGAAAAGAAGAAGTAAAACTGTCACTGTTTGCCGATGACATGATACCATACTTAGAGAATCCCAAAGATGCTACCAGAAAACTACCAGAGCTAATCAATGAATTTGGTAAAGTTGCAGGATACAAAATTAATGCACAGATACCTCTTGCATTCCTATACACTAATGATGAAAAATCTGAAAGAGAAATTAAGGAAACACTCCCATTCACCACTGCAACAAAAAGAATAAAATATCTAGGAATAAGCCTACCTAAGGAGACAAAAGACCTGTATGCAGAAAACTATAAGACACTGATGAAAGAAATTAAAGATTATACAAACAGATGGAAAGATATACTATGTTCTTGGATTGGAAGAATCAACATTGTGAAAATCGCTGTATACCCAAAGCAATCTACAGATTCAATGCAATTCCTATCAAACAACCACTGGCATTTTTCACAGAACTGGAACAAAAAATTTCACAGTTTGTATGGAAACACAAAAGACCCTGAATAGCCAAAGCAATCTTGAGAAAGAAAAACGGAGCTGGAGGAATCAGGCTCCCTGACTTCAGACTATACTACAAAGCTACAGTAATCAAGACAGTATGGGACTGGCACAGAAACAGAAGTATAGATCAACGGAACAGGATAGAAAGCCCAGAGATAAACCCACACACATATGGTCACGTTATCTTTGATACAGAAGGCGAGAATATACAATGGAGAAAAGACAGCCTCTTCAATAAGTGGTGCTGGGAAAACTGGACAGCTACATGTAAAAGAATGAAATTAGAACACACCCTAACACCATACACAAAAATAAACTCAAAATGGATTAAAAGCCTTGGTGTAAGGCCAGACACTATAAAACCCTCAGAGGAAAACACAGGCAGAACACTAGATGACATACATCACAGCAAAATCCTTTTTGACCCACCTACTAGAGAAATGGAAATAAAAACAAAAATAAACAAATGGGACCTAATGAAACTTAAAAAGCTTTTGCACAGCAAAGGAAACCATAAACAAGACAAAAAGACAACCCTCAGAATGGGAGAAAATATTTGCAAATGAAGCAACTGAGAAAGGATTAATCTCCAAAATATACAGGCAGCTCATGCAGCTCAGTATCAAAAAAACCAACAACCCAATCCAAAAATGGGGAGAAGACCTAAACAGACATTTCTCCAAAGAAGATATACAGATGGCCAACAAACACATGAAAGGATGCTCAACATCACTAATCATTAGAGAAATGCAAGTCAAAACTACAATGAGGTATCACTTCACACAGGTCAGAATGGCCATTATTAAAAAAGCTAGAACCAATAAATGCTGGCAAGAGTGTGGTGAAAAGGGAACCCTCCTGCACAGTTGGTGGGAATGTAAATTGATACAACCACTATGGAAAACAGTATGGTGGTTCCTTAAAAAACTAAAAATAGAACTACCATATGACCCAGCAATCCCACTACTGGGCATATACCCGGGAAAACCATAATTTAAATAGAGACATGTACCACGATGCTCATGGCAGCACTATTTACAATAGCCAGGACATGGAACCAACCTAAATGTCTATCAACAGATGAATGGATAAAGAAGATGTGACACATATATACAATGTAGTATTACTCAGCCATAAAAAGAAACGAAATTGAGTTATTTGTAGTGAGGTGGATGGACCTAGAGTCTGTCACACAGAGTGAAGTAAGTCAGAAAGAGAAAAACAAATACCGTATGCTAACACATTTATATGGAATCTAAAAAAAAAAAAAAAAAAGGTACCGATGAACCTACTTGCAGGGCAGGAATAAAGAGGTAGACACAGAAAACTGACTTGAGGACATGGGGTGGGAGGGTGAAGCTGGGGTGAAGTGAGAGTAGCATGGACATATATACACTACTGAATGTAATACAGTTGGCTAGTGGGAAGCAGCAGCGTAGCACAGGGAGATCGGCTCGGTGCTTTGCGATGACCTAGAGGGGTGGGATAGGGAGGGTGGGAGGGAGGGGATATGGGGACATGTGTACGCATATGGCTGATTCGCTTTGTTGTGCAACAGGAACTAACACAGTATTGTGAAGCAATTATACTCCAATAAAGATATATTAAAAAAAAAAAGTTGAGGAAAAATACGATGCATTCAGACTGTAGGAAGAGGCTCAGGACACACTCTGGTTCCCCATGCATTGCTGACATCCTGAATCTACCCTTGAAGTTCTTCCTGTATCCGTCCTGTGCCCCAGTTCAGAGTCACCAGGGAGTAGCAGTCCCCCCAGCAAGGGCCTACCGTGTACCTTTATGGGGATGAATTTAAAAGCATGAGGAGAAAGGCTGACTACAGGCTGGAAAATATAGCTTAAGATAATTTCCACTGGGGTACACGTGGGCATTACTGCAGATGCTACATAGATAGCAATAAACATTTATTGAGTACCTGTTGTGTGCACTGCACTTTGCTAGGTGCCCAAGGATTATTCTCAACCATGTAATTTTTTTCTGCTTCCCTTTTGGGAGAGATTTTCCACCAACTAAGGCTCCTTATAGCACACACAGAGCCCTCAAGATTAATGTCCTGTGACTAATTCTAGCTGCACTGGTAACTGATAGCTGTAATCTTCTGAGAGGCTGAAGGAAAAACTCTCTTTGAGCCCTTACTGTTAGCAGAGGTGAAAATGTTTTTTTCCTCTTACGATTCTCCATTTCTCTTAGATTTCTCAGAGCAATGGGAATATCCAGGGCTTCCAGGGTAAATCCTCTCCTCTTTATCCAGGGCATCTTCTCAGTCTCAGCCCTGCTTCCCTTCACCCAAGTCTTCTCCACAAACACGTGAACCACAGGATAAGCACACAGAGGTCACAGCATGAAGGCCATTTCAACACTGTGTGGCTGACAGCAGGGCTTAGGAGTAGGATGCAAGGTCTGCTGGAGCATCTCTTATTTTTGTCTGCCAGGCTCACGTGAACGTCTTTAAGCAGAGATATGTTTCTAGTTCCTGGCAGAATTTCCTCTACATCTGGGGTCAAATGTTAGCAGAGACTAACTCCATAAAAACAAACCATAATGGGCCCTGTTCAGGGGTGGATTTACCCATTTCTGAACATTAGTCTCGACTGAAGGAGGTGGGCTGCAGCTTATGATGGGAGGACAAAGGTGGCCGCTACTCATCAGAGGTGAATGGCAGCTGGGCTGAGAAGCCTAGAACTTGAACCAAAGGAAGCCCAATGCCTCTTGACTGTAAGATTCTGAGGGGGTGTTATATCCATGGTCAGCAGCCCACGTGGGGCAATACCCAGGGAAGATGGTAAGCAGTCCTGATTTCCAGTCTCTAGGCTAACGTCACAGTTCCTCTCTCCTGCCCATTCCACCTCTGTCACCATACCTGGACGTGTCTCTGCTTCAACAGCGTTTCGTAGCGGTTGGATGGTGGGTATGGAATGATGACTCCATAATTCTTACATTCAGCCCTAAAACGTTTATCCAACAGGACACTGGAAGGGATAAAAGTGAAATGAGGCCAGTAAACATGACGGTGAATGGTGATCAATCACCCAGCCGTGTGTATTTCAAACCACAGGATCTACTCATGAAGTGCTATCTTATATATTTTAAATATTTTTTTCTGATCTACAGCAAAGTTCTTCTAATTTTTTTCAGCCCAAAAAGCTCAGTATGTGAAATAGAATTTCTGCGTTAAAGACAGGCAACACAGAAGTTGAGATGCTTTCTTGCTTTTATTCATTCACCATAAAAGCAATTGAGTCCCTGCTTGGTATATCCCAGGAAACATTCTAGGTACCGAGGATACAAAGTTCTTGTCCTTATGGAGCTTACTTTCTAGTAAAGAGAGACTGATAATAAATAAATAGGCAGAGGAATAAAATAATTTCAGATAATAGTAAATACCTGCATAGTATTTACTATTCACCAGGCATACATGTACATGCAGAGTCATTTTTAATCTCACAACGATCCTATGAATTAGATGTTCTATTATGATCTTTTACACTGAGCCATGGATTGCAGAGTAATAAGTGCTCTGAAAATAATAAAACAGGATCATTTGATGTTAGGAGGTCAGGGAAAACCTCTCTAAAGAGGTTCTGTTGGACAGAGACCTAAATGCTAAAAATGGAAAGATCTGGGGGAAGAATCTTTCAGGCATGATTAGCTTGGTACGTTGAGCAAAAGGAAAAATGGTCAGTGTAGATAAGGGGCCGGTGTGCTGGAGAGTATGGTGCAAAAATGAATTTATAAAGTTAGTCTAGGGGCCAGACCATGTGAGACGATATAAGCCACAGTAAGGAGGTTAGATGTTTTCTAGATGTAAATGAAGCCATGGAAAGTTTTTAAGCAGGAAAGTGACATCATCTAAACCTACACTGTCCAATACATTAGCCACCCACCAGGTGAGCCTACTGAGCACCTGAAACGCAGCGGGTCCAAGCTGAGATGTGCTATTAGTATAAAATACACACTAGATGTTGAAGACTTAGGAAGGAAACATTGAAAACTATTTCCTTAATAACTTTTTATTGGTTACATGTTGAAATTATAATATTTTAGATATAATGGATTATAAATAGTATTAAATTAATTTTTAAAATATGGCTACTAAAACATTTACAATTACATCTGTGACCCAGCATTTGTGATTGCATTATATTTCTGATGGACAGCAATGATCTAGATCACTCTGTCCCTCCTGTGCTCTCTGACTCTCCCAACTTCTCGCAATCCCCCCAACTTCCCGTATCTTTGACAAACCACTGATCTTATAAGGAGGGATACAGATTAAGATTCTTATTTCAGATAAGGATATTTTGTAAATTAAATATATAGAGGACCCAGGGTTTGACAAGTCTGAGTTTGTTTACACAGACAATGGACCAGCATATTTGAAAATTATCTTAGAGAAGCTGGAAGCCCAGCTCACTGTTAAAACCCCATGCAATTCAATCCAGACACTTGTGAAGTGACTCCTTTGTGAAAGGCTGTGTTCTCTGCACTTTCCCTGAAACCCTATGCATATGCTTTCTATAGTTTACATCCTTAAGAGCCATTCACTTCATTTAATGCACATTCTGTGTTAACAGACACTTGTGCATCTGTATACCACCTCCTGTCTGAACTCCATCAGAACAACTCAAGTTGTTGAAAGCAAAACAAAGCAAATTTTTATTGTAGGGAAAAAAGTAACAATCCTTGAAATTACTGGTTGGTACATTTGGATTTCCAATAAAAAGGGAAATATCTCTATCTCTATCTATCTATCTATCTATCTATCTATCTATCTATCTATGTAGGCAGGGTTTTTTTGACCAGTACTGTTACGGGTTCCTCGAACCCAGGAATTCTCAGGGGTCTAAATCAACCCATACTGACAATACCAATGAGCCTGTAAAACCTGGCATGCCCAGACCTCTCCTCTTCCTTGGCCTTCTGTCTGGCCTTCATACTCCCATTCTTGCTCACCTCCAATCCGTTCTCTACAGTTTTAATGTTTTTAAAAGATCAAACTTCTAAAAATAAAAATCAAACTGGGTCACTGTCATACTGTGGAAACTATCCCGTGGTTCCACTCCTAGGACAAATGCCTACAAGGCCGCAAGACCTGGGCCCTGCCTACCTGCCCAGCTTTACCATGCAGCCTGCCCACTCTGTGGTCCGTGAATGAGACATTTACCTGTACTAATTCACATTAATCCTCTCAACAGCCCTACAAAGTAGACGTAGGCATGCCCTTCATCTTATGCTTCTGCCACAGGGACTCTGCACAAGTAGTTTGTTTTGCCTGTGATTTCTAGCCCTACTCTTCACCCAGTTTTACTTAATCAAGTCCTATCAACTTCAGATGTGAACTCAAAGGTTACTTTCTCGGGACTGCCCTTCCAGTTACCTATCCCAAAGACTAGTTCAGGTTTAACTGTCATATATTCCCATTAGCTTGTCCTTCGTAGGAACCTCCCTTGACACTGTGCATTCAGTAGTTTTTATTAATGTCTGTTTTCCTCACTAGACTGTAAGCTCCATAAGATCTAGCACCACATCTGCCTGTTTTCCTTTCTCCTACATTCTAGCACCACATCCAGGCCCACGGAATCACTCAGATTTCCTTAGGTCCTAAAGGAGAAGGGAGGTTTTGCAACAGAGAACCTTGCCTTCCAGGTGGCAATCTTAGGAAGCTTTGCTGCATATAGCCCTGGGGCTCTCATACCTGCCAGCCATTGCTTTGTAGTAAGCAAAGATCTGGTCCGCCAGCTTGTAGACAAACTGATCAAAACACAGGTTCACCTGGTGAAAAAGAAGCAGGAAATGTCAATGGTGTCTGTCCGGCTTTATTAGAGAAATTTCAGCAACTGAAGGGGGCAGTGGTGCAGGACTGCCTGAAGTGTGAGGTGACGCAAGATGCTTTGCAGGAAAAAAAAAAAAAGAAGATTCTGTGGCCAACTAAGTTTGGGAAGTCTGGTCTCTTGCTCTCAAGGTCCTCAACCAGGCACGAAGAAAGCAAAATTCAAAAAGCTGTTGAGGAACCACTGTCCCCACTGGTCCCCTCCTGGCTGTTACAAGGTGCCTGCCCAGGGGGAATGCCACAGATAGGGCTTCACATCCTGTAATTACACATATCAGTCCCCTCATCTCTCCCGATAGAATTTCTTATCCTTTCCTTTTATTTTACTTTACCTTGCTTTGCAAATGAAGAAGTTGATGGTCATTAAAAATTTTAAAACCTTTTTAAAACCAGTTTGCTTAAAAATCTTTGGTTTTTAATGAATAAGAGACCGTCTTGCCTTTTCAGTGTTTCATCATGTCAGTGGCAGAATGTGATGCTGAGGCGAGAAGAAAGTTCACAGCAGACATAGAGGATTGAAAGCAAATCCTCCAGTGATGGCAAGGGCAGGGAACGGCCAAAGGTGGGGCGTTAAAGAGATGGGCTCTGATAGTAGCAGGGTAACAGTATAACTTCAAAGGAAATAGACTGTATTTAGGTGATTAATCTTCAATCCTTTTTGCACCAAACTCCCAGTTCCATAAGGTTAACTCTTTATTCAAAGAGCTTTCGTATCTTTTATTTTACACACTAAATGTTATTCGGAACATAAAAACACAGTGCTGTGTGCAGTGTTGTCCTCACATGCACGTAACCAAGGCCTCTGCCCTGGAGTCTGAGCTTCAAGGATCCCTAAGGGTGCCTCGTTCGGGCAAAGGACCCGTAGGATCCAGGGTGGGGTGCCCAACTCATGCCCCCCTTCTATAACCAGCTTTGAATATTCTTGCCCAAAGAGCCCAAGTCCCTTCCAGGACCTGTGTGCTCTTTTCCCTGGGTTCCTCCCTGAGGGCGCACTGCACTGCAGGTGTGTGTACCCCTAGGGCCTGGGGTTGGCCAAGGGGCCATCGTTTTGGGGCACAGGAGGGAGACAACGCTTGGGTATCCACACATAGGCCCTTCCTGGTTCAGAACAGAGTCTGAAAATGGGACGAGAAAGGGGGGGCAGGCCATGAGCTCGGGGTCTCAATCTATATTTCTGCTCCATGGCCTCCAGCGTTATCCAGGGCTTATCTGTGTGCTTTCTTTACTTTTTTTTTTTTTTTTTTTTTTTTTTTTTTTTGTGGTACGCGGGCCTCTCACTGTTGTGGCCTCTCCCGTCGTGGAGCACAGGCTGCGGATGCGCAGGCTGAGCGGCCATGGCTCACGGGCCCAGCCGCTCCGCGGCATGTGGGATCTTCCCGGACCAGGACACGAACCCGTGTTCCCTGCATCGGCAGGCAGACTCTCAACCACTGCGCCACCAGGGAAGGCCCTACATTTATTTTTAAAATGTCACTTGGACATATGACACTCTAGATTTTTTGTTTTCAACCTGCTGGAGAACATGACTATCTAAAATCTTATTGGAAAATGGACCTGTCCAAGCTGTGATGCAACCAATTAACTTGTCTACTGGAATCTTTCTTTCCAAGTTTGTGTACTGCTCAGGAGACAAACAGGACAGATTTGCATTGGGGTCCATCAAGGTTTTCAACTCCCATAGCAACTGGAAGATTTAGAGAGAAAGCAGCATCTGTACTAGATTTTCTTTGAAATACATAAACTTTCAAACTAATTTGGTGGTAATGCTTGTCCTAAGACACTTACATCTTTCCTTTATAAATAAGAATGCCTTATATTTGTGTGACAATTGGCCTCATTCTACGTTTATATAATCCCATGTACTTAGGTGGAGCAGAGACTCTCATTCCAATTTCCAGATGACACAATTGAGATATTTCATCGTCCTTAGCACTGCTGATCCCCTGTTTCTGGTCCTTGCTGGCCCGTGGTAGGACTGCACTTCCTCGCTCCTCTTTGAAAGGAGGCACTGCCATGAGACTTGCTTTGACCAATGACATGTGTCACTTCCAGGTGGAAGCTTTATGTATCAGAGCATGATTCACCCTGACACATCCCCCTGCCATGGCAACTAGTGAATATCCCAGATGGGTCCCAGATTAAAGACTACGTAGAACAGAGCCTCCCGCCAACATGCAATGGAGAAATGAACCTTTGGTCCCAAGCTACTAAGAATGTGTGATTGTCTGTAACTGCAGCATATCCCAGCCTTTCCTGACGATTTCAGAAATAAAGCCCTTGAGCGACTATTCAACAGCTTCATAGGTGACAGGATGGCTATTTCCATCCTACCAGTACTAGAATGAGACTCTATAAGCTGTGTGATGTGGAGGTAATGATACTTGAACACTCTAAGATTTATTATCTGTAAAATAGACAGTAGCATATACACTTCTTAAATTACTGTAAAGACTATTTAAAATGTCCATAAAGTGCTTAGTACTATACCTGGCAAATGGTAAACATATAATAATTGATAGGTAGCATTATTGTTATTATTATTAGCCAATTAATCCAACTGTAAAAGACCCATTAGAAATTAATTTTACCCATGCAGTTCTAAAGTTTGCCATCCCTGAACATCTGAAAAAGAAAGACTAACATCCTGTTCTAGGTCCCTTTTGATGATAATGATGTTTATAAAGGTCAGTGTCCAAAGCAAGTCACTGATCTCCCATGCTATGGTCTGAATGTTTGTGTCCCCCCAAAATTCATGTGTTGAAATCCTAACCCCCAAAGGTGATGGAATTAGGAGGTGGGGCCTTTGGGAGGTGATGAGGTCACGAGGATGGAGCCTTCATGAATGGGATCAGTGCTCTTATAAAAGAGACCCAGAGAGCTCCCTGGCCCCATCCACCATATAAGGACATGGCGAGAAGTCTGGGACCCAGAAGAGGGCCCTCCCCTGACCAGGTTGGCACCCTGATCTCAGACTTCTAGCCTCCAGAACTGTGAGAAATACATTTCTGTTGTTTATAGGCCCCGCAGTCTGTGGTATTTCATTACAGCAGCCCAAATGGACCAAGACACCCCACTTTGGGCCCAGCTAGAGACCTGAAAAGTCCAGGCTCTTGGAACACGATTATAAGAACAAAAGGAGAAGCAATCACTTGCCTCAGCTTCGATCTCATCGTACAGGAACTGCTTTTTAAACTTAGTCAGAGCATAGTAGGCGCTGTCGTTGTACAGATCCAAAGGGTAGAGGACGTATCTGAAGAGGGAAAAACAACGGCCAGTAGCTCACTAATGATCTCTCTTGAGGCAGGCAGATTTAAACTTGCTTAGGAAATATGAACAGCTGGGTGAACAAATTCAGAGTTAGGAAAAAGAGACCCTTTCAGGGTCTAGGATGTTTCCAGCCTCCACTTAAGAATGACTTACTTTACTGTCTGCCCACAGAAAGCAAAGTCCATGATGTTAATAAATGCAAGGCCTGAAAAAAATTAGTCTGGGACTAAAAGAAATCTGGTGGCCGTTAAGGCCATTAGCTTCCCTATCCCCAGAGATGATAATTTTCCCAGCGTGGCTGTTATGAGCCTGGGAAGGGCAGCTGGGCTGGTAGATTTCTGAACCTTTCTGCAAGGCTGAGTCACATCTGGTGGTGATTTGATCCTGGGTGGGGCACACTGCCTCATCTGGAAAGTTCTGGAAAGAACAGGGCTCACTGGCTGGCAAACTGCCCTCTACCTGCACCTCGGGAACCTCCTTGCTGGCCCAACCCTGCCTCTTACTCCATCATGGAAGGTTCTTTGGTTTCCAGGATATGGTCTGTTAGAATCCAGGGCATGGACATCTCAATAGGGAACTGGATTCGCCGGCCCATGGTTAATTCCAGGAAGAATTCTCGGAACCAGAGCTGGGAGAGGTCGCAACACTGCTGCAGGGCTTCTGGAAGCATAAGGGAGAGAGCCTTGGGTTATACATCAGAAGCACCCGAAGATCTTAGTTCTTACTGGGTTTTTTTAAACTTTTATTCTTCTTTCATTGTGCTAGGTACAGAGCAGGTACTCACGAAAATGACTCGATCAGTAGACCATGCTCTCCTGTACCTGAAGGCCAGCCTAACGTCTATTTAGAAGACAGTGTTTGGGGAATTCCCTGGTGGTCCAGTGGTTAGGATCCCAGGCTTTCACTGCCAAGGGCGTGGGTTCAATCCCTGGTCAGAGAACTAAGATCCCACAAGCTGCACAGTGGCCAAAAAAAAAAAAAAAAAAAAAAAA